ATCCGTCAAATAAAGAAAATATTGAAGTATTAATCGGAGCCGACCTCTTGGTTCTTGCTACTCGGGCCAATCCAAAGGGGGCCTCCCGGTTCCCCTACGGCGCAGTTAACGTCGTTAGGTTGGAATAGTTTCAGGCCCGGCAAAGTCATTGGATTTAGTATCGCTTCAGGAAGCGACGGTTTGTCTTGTGTGGCCGCTCCATCTCTAGACGAGCTCATTCAAAAATTTGGGAAACGGAGGAGATTCCCTCTAAAATCATTTACTCTCCCGAGAGGAGCTATGCGAAACGCATTTTAGTCAAACCCATTCGCGGAATGCGGACGGCCGTTATAATTATTCGATTGCCATTCCGAAATAATCAGCCTCCCGTTCTGGGCGATAGTTATAATCTCGCTCAACGGTTGTATTCCAAAACGGAACGACGATTACTTCGCAATAGCGACCTTGCTGCGGAATACACTAAATTTCTCGCTGAATACGAAGTTTTGGGCACATGGAACAGGTTCGCGATTCCACCTCGCGCCGTCGGCCTGTTTATCTCCCTCACCATCCCGTGATCCGGGAAAGCAGCTCGACAACCAAAGTGCGCGTTGTATTTAACGCTTCGAGTGTCACGTCCAACGGCTTTACTCTGAATGATTGCTTATTAGTTGGGCCTAAGCTTCAAAACGATCTCGGCGGAGTTTTGCTGAATTGGCGTTTCTATCGTTACGTCTATCTGGCGGACATTGAAAAAATGTTCCGTCAGATCCTAGTACATCCCGACGATGTAGATTACCAGAGAATCGTCTGGAGACCGAATCCGCAAGTCCGGTCCTATCGTACCGTCTCCTCACGGTTACATACGGCACGGCTAGCGCACCGTATCTCGCGATCCGTGTTCGACATCAGCTGCCGACGATGAGTCTCGTCGCTTTCCGCAAGCTGCAAAATCCTTAAAATTCGGCCTACGTGGACGATCTCTTATTTGGTGCGAATGACATCGCGTCCGCTATACAATTGCGCGCAAAAGCGCTCACTAACGATTTGATGCATTCCGGCGGATTTCACTTGAGAAAATGGGCGGCTAACGATCCACAACTCTTGTCAATTATTCCATCCGGCGATCACGAGTTATCATGCGATCACGCATTTGAAGAAAATACAAGTCTAAAGGTCCTTGGCGTCGCTTGGCGCCCGACCGACGATGTATTCTTTTTTCGAACCACAGAATTCACGGAATCGCGAACCACGAAGCGGACCGTCCTATCATTTATCGCGCGCGCTATTCGACCCCTTAGGTTGGGCGTCGCCCGTCGTAATTGTAGCGAAAATACTGATGCAGGATCTGTGGCTTCAAAAAATCGATTGGGATGAGATTATTCCCGCGTCACTTCTGCAAAGATGGCAAGATTACGTTAGCAGTCTTCCTAAGCTTTCTAATTGCCGTATGCCACGTTGGCTTAATACCTACGATCCCGATCACGCGGTGGAGATTCACGGATTCGCCGACGCGTCACAGCGTGCCTACGCTGCTGTCGTCTATTTACGGTTCGCCACTCGCCTAATCGAATTTCGGTTTCGCTGCTCGCTGCCAAATCAAAAGTGGCGCCCTTAAAAACGATTGCCATTCCCCGCCTGGAACTTATGGCTATCGTACTCCTAGCACGTTTAATAAATCACGTTTTAGGCGTGCTCGAGAATTCGGATATACCGATTTACGGCTGGACAGATTCCACCGTCGCACTAGCGTGGGTCAGTCAACACCCCTCAAAATGGCGAACGTTCGTCGCTACGCGCGAGTCTCCGAGATTCAGACGAAATTACCGACAGCGAAGTGGCATCACGTGCCGACAATCAGCAACCCCGCGGATTGTGCTTCGCGCGGTATTTCGGTAGAGGAGTTTCGCGTCCACCCGCTGTGGTGGTCAGGCCCGGCCTGGCTAAAAGATCCTCCCGTCTCTTGGCCAGAGAGAAAAAAATTGCAGGACAAATTATCGGACGAAATAGAGTCAAACGTGAATGCCGAAGTTCGCGTCGCTACCGTAGATAATTCAAAGTCCGCTCCGGCAGCGGATATATTCAATATCCACGAAAATTTTACGTCGTGGGGAAAAATTGCTTCGCGTCACAGGTCACGTGTTTCGTCTCTTTAGAACGCATAAAACCAGCAACAAAGCGAGCGAAATGGCGGCCGGGGTATTGACGAGCCTTGATGTCAAGAGCGCGGATCTTCTGGATCCAACGATTACAAGCCCTAAGCTTCAATGCCGAACTCATCGCGTTGCGTGGGAATTCTCCGCTAAGCAAATCGAGTCCTCTGCGTTCGCTAACGCCGTTTCTTGACGAAAACGGCATTATTCGGCTTGGCGGGAGACTCCGCCACTCCTTACTCTCATACGATGAGAGATTCCGGTGATCCTTCCGCGTCACCGCATTACCGAATTAATTGTCGATCAAGCTCACTTGCGATCCTCGCACGGAGGTCCGCAACTTACTCTACGCGTATTACGTCAAATTTCTGGATTCTTGGTGCGAGATCGCTTGTCAAATTCCGAATAAGAAAATGTATGACATGCATACGCGAAAGCGCGAGGACCGCAAGTCAGCTCATGGGCGATCTACCGTCACCGCGAGTGACGCCATCGCCCACCTTTTCCCACTGCGGAATAGATTATGCCGGCCCCTTACAAATCATACCGTATGTCGGTCGCGGTCAGACCTCGCGGAAATATTACGTCTGCATTTTCGTATGTCTCGCAACTCGTGCGATTCATTTAGAGTATGTCTCTGATTACTCATCGGAGGGCTTTCTTGCGGCCTTTCGAAGATTCGTTAGTCGACGTGGACTTCCATCCGATGTCTATAGCGACAATGGTACGAATTTTGTAGGGGCCGACCGTGAGTTGCGACTCGCATTTATAAAAACATGTAAAGATCGCGCCGTCCACGATCACCTTGTCACTGACGGTGTACAGTGGCACTTTATACCCGCGGCGTCTCCACATTTCGGGGGACTCTGGGAGGCGGGAGTAAAGAGTTTTAAATATCATTTAAAGCGCGTTATCGGAGGTCATACTCTGTCGCAGTTGGAATTCGCGACTCTTTTGTGCCAAATCGAAGCCTGCCTTAACTCCCGTCCTCTCGCCGCATTGACAAGCGATCCGGACTCCTTCGAGGCGCTCACACCGGGGCACTTCCTGATAGGTCGCCCCCTTTTGAGTGCACCGGGAGAGTCTGTCTTAGAAATTAATGAGAATCGTTTGTCAGATGGCAAAGGGTGCAGGCCATGCACGAACAATTTTGGAAAGCATGGTCTTCTGATTACTTGCACACGCTTCATCAGAGGCAGAAATGGCGAACGGTAGAACCACCGATTAAAATTAACGACCTCGTAATAATAAAAAACCCTCTGCTTCCCCCCGCTAAATAGGACATGGCCAGAGTCATCGAGACACACCCTGGCCCAGATGGTCACACGCGCGTCGTGACCGTTCGCACCGCGTCTTCAACGCTTAAGCGCCCGATTACTAAAATCTGCCCACTTATTAGAACAGACGAGTAACTGTCTCTTACTCATTGTAAAGATCTGTCAAACATTCCGTCTGCTATCGTTCTATTAAAATTTTAACATACTAGAATTTGTTCATCAGTCCGTTTCGTAGTTTGTACGAGCGGGCGGTATGTTCAGAAATCAAATTGTATTTTTCGGCATGTAGGCTGATTGTGTTTGACCACGAGTTGTTTGTTCGATATCCATTCAAGAATCACGTTATGATTTCGGTATCGATACAGATTATACACGTGATCACCCGATCCTGTACGCGTGATATTGTAAGAATGTGAAAATTCCGGCGTATTTCGTGCCTGACTCTCGCAGAGAGCAGGCCCTCAGTTCTCGTTCGACTAGCGATCCGAACACAGCGATTCTTGTGTTACCATTCAGCGTTGACGAAACGTTAACGATCGTCAAACATAGTCGTGTATTATCAAAGTTATTAACATTTTATTAAAGACTTTGGATTTAATTGTTATTCGGAGCAGTTTTGTGTTTTTTATTCCTACACATCGACTTAATGCGCGGACTCTCCGAGACAGTGGCCGTAACCGGATATAAACTATATTATTAGGTTTGATTCGCAGCACGTTGATTCGAGGGGCGTGTACACTATTCGATTCTTATTTGACTATTCCCGAATAAGAGAGTTATAGACGCATTATAAAACAACATTCTTGTTGAAAATTTATACAAAATGGAGAAGTTAAGATTCGACTTTATGGTAAGAGGATCAACAGACGGAAAATCGAACATATTGTGCTTAACCTCAATAGGAACACCCGATGATCGTTCTTTCGGCTTCCCAGAGGAATATCAGCCAGCACATTTACACACAGAGCTGACAAAAACACAAATATTTGCTAAAGTGAAGAATTCATTAAAAAAAAGACACCAATCAAGAAAAGTATGGATTGGTTTATCAGAAACCTTAACTAAAGTGTATTTGGATGAAGAAGAAACTTACAATTTGGCGATTATTATTTAGAAGAAATCACAGAGAAAAAAACTACTACGGCATCTGAACCTAGTTCTTCAGAGGAAATAATGAGAAAAATATTGGAGAAATTAATGGAAGAGAAACAACAAAAATCCGAAATAAAAAATCTAGGAAAAATAGCACAGGATTTTATGCTTGAAAAATTCACTGGAAAAACCTCCAATGCCCACCAATGGATAAATGAATTTGAAAGAGAGTGCGAACGTTTTGAGATAAATGAAGATAGAAAGAAGATCGAAACTTTAAAATTTTTTCTAGAAAAAGCGTGTGTAGATTGGTACAGCTGCATGCTGATAAAATTTACAGTACAATCAGAATGGAAAGAATGGAAAAAAAACTTTTGTGAACATTTGCAAACAAAGGGTGGATCCCAATAAGATATGCACTCTCATTCAAATTCCAATCAGGTCCTCTGTTGGATTATGCCATAAAAAAAGAAAAATATTATTAGAAGTAAGAAAATCAATAGACACAGGAACTTTGATAGATCTCATCGCAGCCGGTCTACCAAACTTTATATCTGATAGGATTGACAGAGAAACTCTGAACGAAACTGAAGACCTTTACAACGAACTAGGCAAACTGGAACACCTGGTTAATAAAAACAGATTTGAAATCAAGAAGAACAAGACTGATAACATAAAAGAAAAAACACCATGTAAAATTTGTAAAGACAATAACAAAGGCACACGTTATCACCCGGAATCAGCATGTTGGTTCAAAGATAAAGAAAACAAAATAAAAAATGTCAATAACGCCGTCCTAGAAATGGAACTAAATTGCAATGAGCAAAAAAACTAATAATTCCACCATTGATCGAACTCAAGATATTACTAAATGAGACATTGGAAGCAACTGGGATATATGATTCAGGCTCGAATGTTTCATTAATAAACTCTAGAATACTGAATCTAAGAAAAGATAAAAATAACAATATAAGAAAAGTAAACTTAAGAACGATTAATGGTGTGAACCAAACCGAAGGCATGATAACAATAAAAGCAAAAATTCTTAATATAGAAAAAGAAATAGACGTTTTTGTAATAAATAACAAAAATTTCAATTATGAATTTCTAATCGGACTGGATTGTATAAAAAATTTGGATTAATACAGAATGAGAATTTAAAATAGAACAAAAAATTTCCTGACATAACAGACAAAAGAATACAAATGCTCTTAATACCACAAACAAAAATCCAAAGAAAGAGGATAGAAACCATAAAGCTTGTAAATTTCAAGATGACAAGCTACAACAAATAAACTTTAATGAACATGTAGATACAGATAATTTACAAATCTCAATAAACCACCTAGATCACTACGAAAAATTAAAAATAGAAAATCTTATAGAAAAATACAAAACATTATTTGCCAAGGACAAATACGACATTGGCACAGTAAAAGATTATGAAGCAAGAATAGATTTAATGATAGATAAGTATTGCAGCAAGAGACCATATAGATGTACAATCAAAGATAAGAAAGAAATAGAACAACAAATTGCGGAGCTGTTAAAAAGAAACTTGATAGAAGAATCATACAGTCCTTTTGCTGCCCCAGTGACGCTAGCATATAAAAAGGACGAAGATAGAAGATCAAGATTATGCATCGACTTTAGAGATCTGAACAAAATAATTATCCCTCAATCACAACCATTCCCATTGATTGAGGACCTAGTGACAAAAACAAGAAACTGCAAATATTTTTCCAAACTCGACATAAACTCGGCATTCTGGTCAATCCCACTACGGGTGGAAGATAGAAGAAAAACAGGATTTATAACCCAAGAAGGACACTTTCAGTGGACCTGCTTGCCATTTGGCCTAAAGACGTCGCCAGCTATTTTTCAAAGAATCCTGAACAACATAATGAGAAAACACAATCTCTCAAACTTTACAGTAAACTACATAGACGATATCTTGATTTTCTCAAAATCATTCGATGAACATATTGACCATTTAACACAATTGCTAGACGCAATAATGAAGGAGGGCTTTAGATTGAAATTTTCTAAATGCACTTTCGCATCAAATTCAGTCAAGTACTTAGGTCACAAGATAAAAATAACTCAGTCTCCCCAATAAAAGATAATCTAATATCAATACAAAATTTTCCTGTGCCACAATCACAAAAACACATTCGCCAGTTCTTAGGAAAAATTAACTTTTACAATGAATACGTGCCACATAATTCCATAATACTGGACCCACTGCACAAACTATTAAGAAAAGGACAAAGATTCGTCTGGTCGGAAGATTGCCAAGAAGCCTTTAAAAAATAAAAAACATTCTTTGCACTCAACCGGTTTTAACTATCTTCGATCCAGATCTACCAATACATATTTACACGGATGCATGCTTGAAAGGTGTAGGAGCTATACTAAAACAACCACACACTGGATGAAGAAATAGAAAAGAAATAGAAAAACCGGTGCGTATTTCTCGAAGAAGCTAAACGAAGCCCAAAAAAAAAGAAGGCTATATACCTAGAATGCCTAGGAATAAAAGAAGCAGTAAAATACTGGCAACACTGGCTCATGGGCAGATCATTCAAAGTCTTTTCAGATCATAAACCACTAGAAAAACTTAACATCAAAGCAAGACCAGACGAAGAATTAGGCGATCTAACGTATTACTTAGCACAATATGATATGGATAATATACCACCCGGGTAAGAATAACTTGGAGGCAGACTGTTTAAGTAGAAACCCTGTGCTGGAGGCACATGAGAATCAAGAGGAAGACTTAAAAATCGTGAATTTAATAAACCTAGAAGAAATTCTGAAAGATCAAAAACAAAACAAAGATTTACAGACTGACAAAAATAGACTAAACTAAAAAAATAAATAAATATACTATAAGAAGATCAAAGAAAAAGAAAAATTATACTATCAGAAAAATTCAGTAAAGAAGTAATAAGAAGAACACATCAGAATTTCTGCCATATAGGTATAAAACAAACACAAAACAAAATCAGAAATTATTACACAGCACAAAATTTAAAAAAGAATATAAAAGAAATTTGTAGAGCCTGTGAGATCTGCATAAAAAATAAATCAAGAGGACAGAAGAAATTTGGCCTAATGTCTCAATTAGGTCCCGCAAAAGAACCGTTTGAAATAGTTTCCATCGACACAATCGGCGGCTTCGGGGCTCACGATCCACAAAAAATACTTACATCTCTTGGTAGACCATTTCACGAGATTTGGATATATTTTAACATCCAAACCCAAAATTCCACGGATTTTATAAAATTAATAAAAAAAGTAACGGAAAACAACGACATCGGTATGATCTTAACGGATCAATATCCGGGAATAAACTCCAAGGTTTTTAAGAAATTTTTGGACGACAAAAATATCCCAATTATATTTACGGCAGTAAACGCACCTTTCTCCAATGGCCTGAATGAAAGATTGAACCAAACGTTGGTTAATAAAATTAGATGCAAAGTAAACGAGAAAAAGAACAAGAAAGCAGCATGGACAACTATAGCACACGAATGTGTAAGAAAATACAATGAAATAGAACACACAGTCACTAAATTCACCTCAAAATATCTATTAGAAGGCACGGATACCTCAATGTTACCAATCGAATTAAAACAAGAAAGATCAAACGAAGATCTAAAACTAGACAGGAAAACTGCTTTAGAAAATAGTATAAAATATCACGTTTATAATAAAAAGATAATTGACAAAACCGAAGAGATTACAAATTTAATGTAGGAGAATCAGTATATGTCGAGAACGGGAACCGCTTAAACAGAAAGAAATTAGACGAGTTAAAAATAGGACCATACAAAATCTTAC